AAATTCTAAATGTTACACAATTAAAACCATCTGTGATGTTTGTGTTCTCTGGACAGCTCTAGATTCAATATGTCTATGAAATACATGTTTGAAAGAAAAAAGAAAAGAAAAAAACGTCTGATAGTCCTGATTCCACAATATTGGCAGTCATATCCATCCCTTCCAATAAATATATATATATATATAAAGGGTGCTTCTACTAAATACTGAGGAAAGGGTCTGAATACTTAGGACCATGTGATATTTCAGTTTTTCTTTTTTAATAAATCTGCAAAAATGTCAACAATTCTGTGTTTTTCTGTCAATATGGGGTGCTGTGTGTACATTAATGAGGAAAAAAAATAACTTAAATGATTTTAGCAAATGGCTGCAATATAACAAAGAGTGAAAAATTTAAGGGGGTCTGAATACTTTCCGTACCCACTGTATATATATATATATATATTTTAATAGATTTGGCCAATACAGCAAAGAGAAGTGGGGAATACAAAAACAAATCTTTGTTAAGAAAAATAAATGATTTGTTCTGATTTGGAGAAATGCGTAGAATGACACATTCAGATGTTATTTATTTATTTTTTATTAATTTGTTATTATTACTACATTATTTGATTCATGAAATATTTGATTTAAATGAATCGAATGTGAAAATCAGTGTTGTTTTTTATTGCAGAGATGTCATTTTGTATAAAAACCCAGATTCTGTATAAAAATAAAATCACTGTAACAGTTTAAGTTAACTACAAAAACCACTTTATTGAAAAAGCAGATTACACAAATCTACGGTTAAATGACACGTCCTGACTTTTCATACATTAAATAACTTTAAACTTTTCACGTTTAGATAAATAAATCTACTTAGCTTTTTCTTTATTTATGAAATATCTAGGAAATCAAAACATTGTACGATAAAAAAAAGTGATGCAACAGAACGCAAGATGTGCATTTTTAAAGAACTAACTGAAGGAAAGCTACCGTTCATTGAATCGCTGATAAATGCAGGAAATACATTCTACACTCGTTATTTACAGGGACTCTAGCGTTGTGCTATGCAATAGTAGTACGTTTTAAAAGTGGATTAAGACAACATGGAGAAAAATATTATGCACTTTAAAAAAAAAAACACACACTTGTGGGAATGATCTGAAAGCGGAAACATCTGAGGTTACTGAACTGTTCAGGGAAATATTCTGTCATTATATTCAACATTCACGCTGTCGATTACCACAGAAAATACCTCGGCTGTGAGAAGCGAGTAGAAAAGATTTTCTCTGGCAGTCGACAGCGTGTCACAGACGCTGTACATCAATCCAGAATATTCCTTCAGAAAACCCCCCTCTCCAAAAACAAGGTCAGGATGAGGTCATGTGCTTGCGGTACAGTAATCAGTCAGCAAACACACATCTTCACACCAGTTTTACAGTCTGCTTTGCAGATAAGAAGTCACTGGATTTAAAAACAACTCTCTGTATCAGGTCTTCTCAGGTCAGGGAAACACATAGAGCCCGGTTCTGTCAGTAGTATTACAGCAGACGTCTGTGTGGAACAGGAGAAGTGTGTACAGTGAACCGAGAAGCATTTAAGACACTTGAGGAATAGTTCAACCAAAAATTATTTTTTGTTAAAAATGTGCTCATCCTCAGGTCATCCAAGATTAGCATGAGTTTGTTTCTTCATCAGATTTGGAGAAATGTAGCATTGCATCAGTGTCTCAGCAATGGATGCTCTGCAGTGAATGGGTGCCATCAGAATGAGAGTCCAAACAGCTGATAAAAACATCACAATAATCCATAAGTAATCCACAGCACTCCAGTCCATCAGATAACATCTGGAGAAGACAAAAGCTGAAACAAATCCATCAAGACATTTTCACTTCAAACCTTCCGGCTACAATATGAGTCCTCCATAATATCAATAATATTGTATAACACAGTGAAAAAGTAATCTGGTCTGAATCAGGAGAGAAATCTGCACAGATCAAGCAACGCTTACAAGCCAAAACAGCTCTAAGCAAATACGTGGCTGGATTTTGATGCGAGAGACAACAGGAGATGGATTTTTTCACTGGAGGAAGCGTTATTATGGATTATGGACTCATATTTTAGCTGGAAGAAATGGTTTGAAGTTAAAAACATCTTAAATATTAATGTTAACTGATGGACTGGAGTGCTGTGGATTACTTGTG